CATGCCATAAATTATACAAAAATGCAAGGCTCAATCAGTTTAACGGATAAGTGGAGCAAACTTACAAGGATGTTAAGTTTGCCGTGAAATAGTGATGAGACCTTGTTTATAAGCTCCTCTCGTTGAGCTTTTGAGACCACATCACATACCGAACCAGTGACTTGATCAAAACCTTTCATTTTCCATTGGCTCAAGCAGTCGTTAAGCTGAACTTCATTACGAGAACAAGTATGTATAGTTGCACCTAGCCCCGCCAATTCCTCCACAATAGCATACCTAAACACAACACATATATGTAGTACTACTTTAAAAAAAAACAGAACACTTTCAGATTGCAAGCATAAAGGAAGAAAGCGCTAACCCAATTCCTTTGGTTCCACCAGTGACAAGAGCAGTCATTCCGTGAAGAGACCATCTACTATCTTTGCCATTGCTATTTGCCTGCGCCATCTTTTGAGGCTGCTACTGATATTTCAAATTGGTTTTATATATATTTATGCAGAAAATTTGAAGAGAATATTGAAGATATATATAGTAGAAACTAGAGGACACTTACTAGTCTTGCACTGCTTTACACTTTCTTATACGTCTAAAGAAGCACAATGCTTCTCTTGTACACGTCAAACCTATCAGCCAGTGACAAAAGCAGTCATTCCGTGAAGAGACCACCAACTCCACTTCGATAGAGCAAGAGGCTAACTTTTTTCATTTCTCTAGCTAGTGTGTTACCCTACCATGTGAGTAATGTTAGATAGATCACATTTATATACCATCTCTCTAAAAGAATCTTATCTTATCCTTATCAACAGACGAATTATGGGTCTGTATATTGGGCCACGTGAAACTCTGGCGCTGAGTAAAATTTGTTGAATAATGGATGCCCCAATCTATTTGACTGTCCAACCAATTATATATATATATATGTAAGCGATAAGATTTTGTTTTTCTAAATCAAATGAGCAGTCATCACCAGCCATTGTCATAACAGCTGGTTAAGATTGGACAATGGACCTGACAGCAGCAAATTTGGAAATTGGGCTGTGAAATTGCAATTTGTATGTCACGTGAAATTGGGCTGTGAAATCCCCTACGATACACTAGTACTACTCTTGAGTTGAAATTCATTAGTTAAAGTTGAGACTCTTGAAAATAAGATCTCAATGAAAGCAAGTTTTGGGAAAATCCCAGCCTCCAGTGAGAAATGAGTAGAAGAAGTAGTGCTAAGAGGAGACTTTACAAATTCCAAGCACTTCAACGGCTCAAATATAAATGAGATTCCATATCCGAAGCCGGAAAGGCGACGAATGGAGGCGAACATGAAGCTGCAACATCTGACGATGACACTAGGGTTAGGGTTTTTGGGGACGGAGAGATCATAGACGACTTGTTACATAATAGCCACGACGGTTGCGACACCTGCGAATGGTGGATGGGCTTGCTAAGGGGGTGGCTGTAGAGAATAGGGAGTCTGAGGTGGGGTGGGGTTGGGTCGGGAAAGGAGAGAGAGAAGGAGAGAGATTTTTTTTTAGTTTTTTTTGAATACTTTAAAAGGTTTAAAAGTAAAAAATTAACCATAGTTATACCATGGACATGTGTTAAGTTTTTAAAAGGGTAATGAGGGTATACTTTGAGTTAAAGTAGTGAGCAAAAATGCTCCCCTAATCAATTACATTCCGCTATTGTTCCACATGACGGCACGACATGACAATGACATGCAAGTTTTTCTCCGGAAATTGATGTCTTGGGGCCACAAAGAAGGAAAAAAAAAAAAATTAGTGGGAAGAAAATCATGTCTAGATAATTTGAGAAAAATATGTTTACTAGAAGCATACGAGCTCCAAACTCAGCAAGAAACATGGGAACAACTAATTTCACGATTAACACACTCTTAAGCAATTGGGATACTCCCCAAGAATAAGTGAAAAAAATAAAAATTGACTTCCTATATAATAGGATTTCAACAACTTATTCTGAAAATGTAAAGACAACAATAATTCTTAACATAGAAAGCACTTTGAACACAGTAGCAATAGTGTCTCCCACTAGAAATTGGGAAAGTGACATCAATTTGTGCTCAACTTTAATTGCAATCATTATCCTTGGAAGATAAAACCATTGACGGTCATACCCCCGTCAGCACAAATAGTCTGCCTAGTTATATATGTAAGAAGCTGCAGCGAGGGATAGAAATGACACCAGGGCTGCCACCTCTTCCGGCTCTCCCGGCCATCCTAATGGGGTTCGAGAGTTGACAGCATTCGAAAATTGTTCATTACTCAGAAACTGCATGTATAAAGTAGAGAGAATGATAAGTTTTATGTACCTATATATAGACGCATGTATGTTGTTAGAAAAAGAAAAGAAAAAAAACTAAAGTCTAGAGTGAACTCAAATTTGAATAAATAATATATCGATACATGTGAAAACTTGAAAACTAAGGATCTTACATCTGCAGAAAGGGGAGTTCTGATGAACCAAGGTGCAACGTTGTTGGCCCTTATGTTATCTTTGCCCCACTCACAAGCAAAGGATCTTGCCAATTGGTTTACTGCGCCTGAAACATATTACCAAAAGAACAGTCACAATTTTCACTTCATATACATAATTAACACAAAAAATTTAAAGGAAAGTTCCAATCCCTGCAACTGAGACTGATCCAGCAACAGAAGAGATAAAAACAATGTTACCAGCTCCTGAAGCTTTCAAAAGAGGATGTGCGAGTTGGGACAAATGGTAAGAGGATTCAAGATTGGTACTCGTAACAAATGCAAAATCTTCTGCTGTGCAATCGAGTGTTGCTTTTGCTTCTGCAGTTCCCACATTGTTTTTCTACAGCCACATATTTTTGGAAGAGGGTATTCATTTTAGAACAACTCTAGAATATCATGATTTTCCATTTTAGGTGTAGTTTCTCATAAAAATATATTTAAGAAAATTAAAAAAAAGCCTTTTATAATAATATATTTTTCCTTCATACTCACATTTTTTCTTAAAGTAATGCTACACTTACCACATTTTTATCCCACATTTCTATACCACATGCCCATATCATATGCCACATCAATTAAATCAATGAAGTATATTTTAATAAAGAAAAAAAAAGGGTGTTAGTTGAGGTTTTATCCCAAAATCAATTGGCAATGGCGGGAGTAGCCAAACTCCTTATAAGGTTTTCTAACTTTCCAATGTGAGACATTGTCACTTTCACATTCTCACGCGCCCCCGCATGTGTGGTGACATTTCAAGACCAATTGGCAATGGGGGGAGTAACCCAACTCCTTATGAACCCAGCTAGATCTCTAAACTTTTCAATATGGGACAAACACTCTCAAAATGCCCTGCATACGTGTCTCAAATTTTCAAGCACTTGGCCAATGCTTCCTAAAAAAGCAGTCCCAAAAAAGTATGCATATATATAAATTACATTTTTGGTTTAAAAAATTAAAAGATTTGTAGATACACTCTACGGTCTCCCACAAATATTAGTAGTACACAACCAATTAAGTACTTTTGAACATCAGAACATGCTATATATATAGTCTATAAATTGTTTGTTGGCTCAACAAATACAACTTATATATAAATGGAGTACTTACAAGGATATTAATTTTCCCGTTAAACTGTGATGAGACTTCGTTTATTAGCTCCTGTCGTTGGGCTCTTGATGACAGATCACAAACGGAACCAGTGACTTGATGAAAACCCTTGGTCTTCCATTGATTCAAGCAATCATTGAGCTGGTTTTGGTTCCGAGCACAAGTATGTACAGATGCACCGACAATTCCTCCACAATAGCATACCTAAATTAGAACAACATATGGAACTAGTAAATTGCCAAACATCAGTATATCATATATATCAATACATTTTATAATATAAAAAGGGATGAGCGAGAGAAAAATAAGTGTTCTCTTAGATTGTTGGACAACATTAGACACTTATGGTATGTCTCAGACAACCCTAAGCTATTTGTCCACGCTGCAGAGGAACTATAGTCCCACAAGATGTATATTGCTTCACCAGCAGCAACGTATAAGGCGACCCTTGAGATGACAAAAAGAAATTGGAAACGTAGCTTAGTTGATGGAAATGTTATATTGATAATAAAGACACATTTATTCACTCATCTGTAAACTATATTCCCTATACATAGGTAATGACAGATTTGTACCTGTAGAGTTGGCTTGGTGGTCGACTGATGCAGGGTCCAAGATAACCATAATGCTTATAGGATTAGGTAATCTTAATCCTTATCAAAGTAGGAATCCTTAAGCTTGTGAATATATCTAGAACACTTATATTAGGCTGCCATATCTGATAGGAATAGACTTTCTGATAAACCATGAGTTCTTAGGAATCCTTATTCGATTAGAAGATCACTTCATTAAGACAGTAAACCATCTTACATAACTAACACGAACACCTTGTCATGTCACACAAATTCTTACTTCAATTTCTAAACACACCAAATTTAGTTTTGTTTTTAAAGTGGCAGTTTGCAAGCTTATAAAAGCTTTTTGATGCCTTGCATTACAGCTCCTCCTATTTTTCACACCCGATTAATCCATACTCATGCAAACGTGTGACAAAATTACATGTTCTAGTGATCTATTATCTTCTCTCTCTTTACCTATCAAATTTCTCTCCTCTTACTTGATCTATGAAGTTCATCATCCATTCCAAAGAATAAACTCCTACATGTAATTATGGATCAGTCTTCTTGACGTCATCAATGGCAATCACCAAAAATAAGGTGAAACTCCTAGTCCATGTAAAAAAGCCACAAAATTCTGTTTGCTGAAGGGAGCATAGACCTGTTAGTTGACTTTTTCACTGTCTTTGGCCTCTAAACTAGTTAAGTCTGAAAATACAATACAACTAATATGAAAAAGCAAATACAAAACAAAACGAATTGTAAATCTGGCTGTTGGTTTAGTTAATGAATGCCAACTAGTGGAAATAAATACATATTTATTCACTCATCCATAGATTATATTACCTATGTATAGGTAATGACAGATTTGTATATGTAGAGTTGCTTTGTGGTCGACTGATGATGCAGAGTCTCCAAGGTGACCCTCCACCTTCTTGATCCATTCACCATTGCCATTTTTGAATAATTTTGAATTTAGGATACTTCTTTTATGAAGTTTTTGGTCTTTGAAGGCTTAAGCACATGCTCCTTCTTCTCTGTCCTCAATGGCTACAACCAACAACACTAGCGTGAGTTTGAAGCTTCTGATTGACACAAAAAAATAAGGCCCATTTTAATACAATGTTTAAGGCCATTTTACAAAACCCAACCCGTTAGTTATATTAAAAATTAGGTCAGATATCCTCTTCTTCTCAGCATCGCCTTCTCCGTCCTCTCTGTCTCGATCTCTCTCTCTCTCTCTGTCTTTCTTCCTAACAAGCAGCGGATCCTGCGCGCTTCAACCGCCCTTCGTCCACGCCTCAACGGCAAAAGGCCCGCCCAAACCGCCTAGAGCCACCTAGAGCCGCCTAGGGCCGCCTAGAGCCGCCTAGGCGGG